GGTGGCTAAGGCTTGAATGGGAATCCAAGGTCTTCATTTCATAATCTGGAATTTTATGACAGTAACGTTTTAAATAAAAACTACTCTGGGGATTTTGCAACATATTTTCGTTGGCGAGAGTGATGGAGTTATTTCCCATGTTGGTCCAGAATGAGACTTGAACAGAGCAACATTTGTCTGAGACCAGGAAAAAAAATCAGATTAATGACTTCCTCTTTCAGGGAGGCTGTGAGCCTCTTAATGTGAGTTTGGTAAATGTTTGGGGGAATTTGTTATTGCAGACAGGTGTTCCTGAGTCAAACAAGGTGCTGTCCTTCCTAAACCACATGGAAATTAAGAAGTGTGTTGACTGACTTGAAAAAGCACGAGGCATCCCCCACCTCCAAGTGGAATAATTTGCTGCGGAATTCATCCGCTATTGCAGATTTATTGTTTGAAAGCCAAGTTTTAATAAATTCTGGCCCTCGGATTCACAATAAAAGCACCTGTTGGCTTGAATCCATGCAATATAAGATGACAAAAAAAAAAAAAGAGCATAATTATCTTTTTAATTAAAATGTCTGGTGACTATATTTCCAGGACAGTCTCAAAATGATACGTACATCTCACCAAACGCCAAGGCAGCTGGACGTCTCTATTCTTTCCAGCTGCTAAAAGCTATATTTCTCTGTTCGATGCTGCTGTACGAGTTTTCACCACAGATGAATCAGGAGGGAAAGCAGGGAGGGTGCACAACCCAAATTTCAAAATAAGCAACGCCAAGACATTAACCGGTTGTCATTTTCCATTTTGACCTCCTGCAAGGTCAGGAGCAGCACCTAAGCTTGCCCATGCTTAAAGCAGAGCCCACTTCCAACTGAAGTAGGACCTGGGTCTAGCAAGCAGGGGGGGCTCTGTTTTGGGGAAACTGAGGCAGGCTCGCAGCAGGAACCACCCTTGTGTGAGATACGGTGGTTGCGCTGGCGCTCTGGCAACCCTTCGCCTCGCCAGGGCTAATTTTTCCGACTAATAAACTTCAGGATGAGCTCCCAGTGAGCTCAATGAGGGGGGAAAGCTGATTGCCGGGCGAACAGCACGGCGAAAGGATTGTGGAAATTCGCTTTGAATAACGCTCAGCGAAGGGTGAAAAGAAAGAAAAAGCCGTAAAATGCTGTTCCCTGCTCCCAGAGCTTGCGCTGAGTTGTGAGACACAGAGAGGAAAGGCAAAGCCTTGCTGCCCGCAGCCTGCGCATCGCACGCCTCTGTGCTTTTTCCTGCAGAAGCAACCGCTGCAAACAGATTTGCATCTAGAGGAAGCCACGCAAGACTTTCTGAGTCTGGAGGACAGCGAAGGGCTGGGACTGAAATTGCCGTAGGATCGTGGAATGGTTTGGGCTGGGAGGTACCTTTAAGAACCATCTACTCCAACCTCCCTGCCACGGACAGGGACATCTCCCACTAGATCAGGTTGCTCAAAGCCCTGTCCAGCCTGGCCTTGAACACTGCGAAGGAGGCAGCATCCCTAACTTCTCCACGCAACACGGTCCAGGGTCCCAGCACCCTCCTTGTAAATAATTTCTTCCCTCGGATCCAGTCCAAATCTACCCTCTTTCAGCTCAAATCCAGTGCTACTTGACCTGTCTTTTTACAGAACCTGGTAAAAAAAAATATCTCTTAGTCTGTTTTACAGTCCCCCTTTATATGTTGGGGTCCCCCTTTATACACCACCCCGGTTCTGAGGCAGATGTGGGGGTCACTCCTGCAGGCACCCAGCCCCGCAGCTGCCTGTCCCCACTGCAGACACCCTCCTGCCACCCTCCCAGCCCAAACATTCATCCTCGAAGGCACCCTGGGATCCTGAAGACTCAAAAAACCCTCTTTTTCTCATGTCTCTTTTCAGCATTTAGTAGTAAGTCATGTCGTCTCTACATTACTGAGTAATTCAGAGGGACTTCTAAATATTTTTTGGTGGTCTTTAACCTCCCTTTCAAGGCTCCTTCAGCTTTTAAACACTTTTATGTGTGGGACAGCATTGCTTTCAGCCTCAGGCCACTCGTGCCTTGAACTGCGGGGCGATGCCAGCTCTCCAGCTCCACTGCAGCTTTGGATCCTCTGCCCCCTCCGCAAGAGCCAGCGCAAGCGTAACACAGACCGAGCTCCTTTTTGATGACAACAGTCTGACGTCCCTCAGGCTGCATAAGCTGATCGATAGCGCTGCAGCAAGAGCATCTTTCAGCAAAACGCACGTGAGCTTTAAATAAAGCAATAAAAATCTAGGAAATCAGCCCTGAGAGTAAACCCGGCGTGATGCTCGTAATTGCCCCTGCTGGGGAGGTGCTACAGATAGTTTGACGAGCTCCTTTTTGATGACAACAGTCTGACGTCCCTCAGGCTGCATAAGCTGATCGATAGCGCTGCAGCAAGAGCATCTTTCAGCAAAACGCACGTGAGCTTTAAATAAAGCAATAAAAATCTAGGAAATCAGCCCTGAGAGTAAACCCGGCGTGATGCTCGTAATTGCCCCTGCTGGGGAGGTGCTACAGATAGTTTGATGTCGCAGCTCACCTCCAGCATGCTCTGGCCCCTTTTTGCTTCTCTTTTCCCCCAGAAATATGTCATTCATCCGCATCACAGCAGGCAGCTGCTCTTTTGGTAGGGACTGTGTCCCTCACACGCACAAGGGACGCTAAAGACAAGGGATGCAGCCTGCCCTGCCCATGCATGACCCAGAGGACCAGTAATAACTGGGAATGTTTGGACACAAAGATCTTTGCAGGGAATGCAGCCCCTAGCCATCATTAGCTCGAACAGAATTACGTCAAGATGTTTCTTTAAATTATTAAAATTATTCTTAAAAATGCTGCTTATTCAGGGCACAGCTGTAGCAACTCCTTCTGAGCTACTAAGAGTTATTTAAATGTAGACTTAGTCCCTCTACCTTCTGGAATTACAGCTTCGATAACTGCTTTAACACAGATACCAAGCAAGTCCCAACGCAGACTTCAGTAACGACCACATCTTTTCTTGATGAGCCGGACCAGTTCCCTTAACAATAACGTCACAGACTATGTTAACAAACACCTCCAGGGTGCCGGGAAGAGAATACGCAGCGGCTCCTTCCCTGGAGTGGCCGCCGTGCCAGGACGCAGCCTCCTGCGGTTCCAGGTACAACTCCTTGCTCTCACGCTACCTCCAAAATGGCTCGCATCCCTTTACAGAAGAGTTATTAGTGGAAAAACAGGGATTTATCTATATATTTTCTGTTAGCAAGTGTAGAAATGTCCTCAAATTTATCCATATCTTTCCAGGAGCACAAACAGACTCTTTTTGTGTTATTCTCTTGGTGTTTTTGGTGGATCATAGACTGAAACATTTGTCAGCAGGAGGGGCACCAGGGCTGTGTGAAATTCATGATGATATAAATTAAAAATTATCGCTGCTCCATCCCTGATAGCTGTCTGGTTTGTCGTCAGAATGAAAACAGCAGCTCCTCAGCTCAGAAACTCTTTTTTTTAAAGGGAGGTGCGCAGAGCACGTGCAGCAAACATCACCCTTTGTTTTCTGTGTCCAAACTATCCAATATCACCACTTGCTGCATATAGAAGACATGAAATGTGACCAGAAAAAACCCCACAAAACCAAACAACTCTTGGCCTGTCGCAATGCTTCGTGCTCCCCTAGAAGCCTGGAGGGAAGAAACCCGGCAGGGTGAGGTGGCTTGGCCAGAGGTGAGAGCAGCGGTTGAGCTAGAAACGCAACGCACAGCCCGTGCCCAGCTGTGCAACGTGTTACCTTAGGGAAGGATCAGGTTGAATGTTAGGAAAAAATTCTGCCAAATTAGATATACACATAAAAAGACGCTATTTTTTTCCTATATTTTTTCCCATTTCTTACATTGCTACTTTGGAAGCACGGCTGCAAGAAAGTTAAAAGACATGCCTGCACCAACATATGTCAATATACCTTTAATATTGGTTTCTGTGTGATTTCTTACACTGAAAACACCCAAGCGAGCGACAGAAGATCACCTTTAAGCACAGACCTTCAATCCTGGCACACAGGAATGATTTTTACTTTTACTGTTATAAAACTCAGGGAAAAAAAAAAGAAAGAGGCACCTTGTAATTCTGTGTACAAAAAGTTCAGGTAATACCCTCTGGAAGTAAATCTTGCTTCTGGAAGATACACATGAGCTACTGAAGGGACATATACACCCATATTACGATCACATTTAAAAACCCAAGTTAAAAGTAAAGTCGTTTTGGCTGGGAATCAAGCAATGGTAACAGATTTTCTGTGTATCTATGTGAAAAATAGGCTACATTTGTGTCTGTTAAGTTATATGACGGATACAACTGAGAAATTAAGTTTTCCACGTGATGCAGAAGAGATATTTTAAGAGCTATTTTGCATATACCTGCAGTTATCTGTCTGCAGATGAAAAATTTGCATTTATTTAGGGGTTTGGGGTTTTTTGCTTATATGATGTATCCATACACTGGAGTTCATTTTAATAGAAGTGCATCACATAGTTGAACAAAGAATGTTGCATGCTGTTTCATTTTCTAAAAATATCTTATTTTTGAGCCACCACCCTGCGGTGGACTATGGGGCACCGAGACTACACCCACTAGTAGGAAACTCTCCCCAAAGTGCAGCCTTCAGCTGTCAGGGAGGAGGAAGAGGAGCTGAATTTCATCCCTCTGTCCCCCGGCTGTGTCAGCAGAGGCTATAAAGCCTTTTTCTCTCCATGGAGTAAGTCACTAGTACAGCTGCACTAGATATACAAACAGCTTGGTTTTAAAGCACCTGCCTCTATTTAGAGCTGAGAATCCAAGAAGAGTTTATTCGCCAATTTTTTTTTGAGTGTTTTCTAAAGAAACATTTGTTTTACCATCACTGCTGCACCTAAACTACACAGGTACCTGCGTTGCAGAGGCGACGATTTATTGTGCTGAGTGTGAGAAGCAAACCCCATCCCGCACTTAC